GTTTTAGCTTTTGGCTCAGGAGTAAACCTTTGACCTGGCCTAATCTCTTAGCCAGGGATAGCTGAGTTATTTGTTCAGGACAAGGAGATGAGCTAAGGGTTGTTGACCAAGATGCTTTCCCACAGAGCAGGGAGCCTGCACTTTTATGACCAGGCCACTTCCTCTTGCTAGCCCAACAGTGTTCTGCAGGCCAGGGATTATCAGAGCCACTGTTTTCAGTGCCCCTCCCTTTAGCAGAGAATGCAGCCTGGACCTATAAGTTTTAGGCCACCTCACCCTAGGGCCTGGCATCCTGGTTTCCTACATACAAGTACGTAATATACATTGTTTCCTTTGGTTCATGCTACCTGGCCAACATATTTATTATGCAATGAATATATTTGCTATTCTAATTTGGTGGTATCTTTTTTTGCTCTTACTTAAATACATGGATTTTTCCATGCTGCTTCTGTGCAAAATGTAGCTTTCTATTGGTATTAATTTTTTCTGTCTCTATCTCTCTCTCATTCCATATATATATATTATATATTCATGTGATTACTTATTTGAGATAGATGATAATTAAACAGAATTTTACCTAATTTGTCTTCTTTGGGGAGAGTTAAATTTGCTTGTCATAAGCCTTCTGCATTGGTACCTGTTCCATTTTACTCTCAATTAAAAAATTTACATATGAAGTTGGAGAGATGGCCCAGTGGTTAAGAGTACTGGCTGCTCTTGCAGAGGACCCAGTTTCAATTGCCAGCAACCAAATGGCAGCCAGCAGCCATCCTTAACCCCAATTCCAAGGGAATTTGATGCCTTCTTTTGACCTCTGCAGGCATTGTAGTACGTGGGTGTACTTACATGCAGGCAATACACTTTTATACACAAAATAATAAATACAGTTTTTAAATTTACATGTTACAAGAGTGTGGTGAGAAAAAGAGGGAGAGGAGCAATTGATCATTTATCAGATACAGTGTTATCATTTTAGAGCTATAATGGTTTCTAATATTGTATAACATAGCAAGGCGAATAAAATGAAAAAAATGAATTTTACCTTAAAATAATTTAAAAGAGCATTGTAAATTTAGTCATCATTGAAACGTTAAACTGTGTAAGGAGAAGGATATGTCAATTACTCCATTTTGAAAAGCACCAAAAGCAATAAAATAATCTACCTCAAAAATATACACAACTCTAATGTACCAATTGTAAAATAATTAAAAATAATCTTTATACTCATCCTTACCAAGTATCTTCACCTTGGATATCTAGACCTCATATTGGAAAATATTTTCTTATTTCTAAACTCATTTTGGATTTTGGATTCACTTCAATTACTATGTTTTCATATTTTAGGCTGAAAATAGAAAAGTTTATGTTGTAATTTCATATTTGTTTTTATTTATGGTTTAGGAAAAATGTCCCAGTTTTATAATTTGACTATGCCATTGATATCAGTCTGTATTTTGTATTATTTCTAATTTATAACATTGAATGGGGTTGAGATGCTAAAGACTTCACAATGCCATCTTACTAGAAAATATAAATGTTCTATGCTAAAAATTATAAGTTCATATAGAAAGAAACAATGTAGCACATAAGTCAATTCACATACAAAATTGTAGAAATTCCTAACTACTAAATGTTTAAAAATTAACACCAGCCGGGAATGGTGGCACATGCCTTTAATCCCAGCACTCGGGAGGCAGAGGCAGATGGATCTCTGTGAGTTCAAGGCCAGCCTGGTCTACATAGTGAGTTCCAGGACAGCTGGGGCTACAGGGAGACCCTGTCTCAAAAAGACCAAAAAAAAAAATTAACACCAATATGGAGCACCATCTTTACCTATAAAATGATGATGGTTGAAATTTTACTAAATATGGCTTTTATAGATCCATCTTCACTTTTTACTTTCTAGATTTCTAGTTTTTGTGAAATTGAATTTTTACTTCAATTAATTACGATGTTCTGCAATGTCAACATGTTATCTCCTTTATGAATAAAACAATTAAAATTTGGGGATACTATTGAAATGGATTTTTTAAATAGGTTTTGATGGTCTTGTCTATATTTTGTAATTCAATATTAATCAAATACATTAGAAGTTTCTATGTAAAAAAATTTAAATCATAAGTGAATGTTACCTAAAGTATAATAGTATCTATCTCACCAAATAATAATAGAAATTGCAGAAAAAGTGAAGAGAACTGGGTGTGATATTCTTTACCTCAGGAGTCATAAAATCATTCATGCTGAACCCCTCACATCTATTCATTGACCCTAAGGACTTGCTCTTTTGGGATTAGAGCAGGAGTATAATATCTTGCCTAATGGGGAGCTTTGGATATTGAGCCTCTGGGATATCTATGCTATTGGAGTCAGTATGTGACCACTTCATTAATAAAATGTTTGTTAAGATTCAAAATCAAATATTATTATCAAAGATGACTTTTCTTTATGAAGGTCTTATTGAGTCAACTGGTGTGTCTACCTATCCTGATAACAAATCCTATGCAGCATTCAGGTGAGATTCTGGGCATCATTGCTTATGAAGATAGCCAGGTACCTCACTCTACTTTAGCAATGCTTTGGAAATTATAGCATGCATTTTACTACAAATTCATCATGGGAAGTGTTGTGGAAAGGGCATAGATAACATTATGAGGAATGAGACCCTCACTTGCTTGTCAACTGTCATTCCCTTGAAGCACATGTACCCAGCTCTCATTCAATTAACCTCATCCTGCCCACAAGTCAAGGAACATTTTGTCTGAGCAGAAATGTTCCTTTCTTGAACTATGATGATTGTTTCAAGTTATTCTGATGTTTTCTTAAATATTTGTGGTGCTGCTAATCACAGTTTTTTTAGTGTTTTCTAGGCTATCCATAAAAATATTCTACAAACTACTTCATTTAAGAATCAAAGTTCATTGTCCCCTCATACTTCTGGAGGTAGAAGTTCTTATATCTAATGCCATCACAGCTGATTTCTTCTGACACTTCAAACAGTGTTTTGATGTGGTCTTGTTTCTATTTATATGTGTGTGTAGCCTAATCTTTTCTTCTTACAAGAATACAAGTCATATTTGACTTGGACTAACATATAAAGCCACATTCTAATTTAATTTCCTTTCCCATAAACGCTTTCTAAAAAATAGTCATGTTGAGGAATTGAAAGATACATTTTCAATGTATGTTTGGGGGAGAACTTATGACCATGAGTAATTCTCTTATTGTTCTTTCGGTTTCTTTGGTTTGCTTTTGTTTTTGTTTGAGACAGGGTGTCTCTGTACCTCCAGTGGGTCTGCATCCCCTATGTAGAGATCTGCCTGTCTCCACCACTGGGATCCTGGTATTAAAGGCTTACACCGCCATGGCCAGTCCTTTCTATTTTATCAGTACAACTTTCCACAGAGATTTTAAATTGTCATTGTAGGAACACTAAGGAATCTGGGCAAAAACATCCACTACCAGTAAACCTCACTTTACAGCTTCCTAGTCTCCTATTTCACTTTCTAAAACCACCAAATGCTTTGAACATGAGTGTCTCAGAGAATGTCATTAACAAAACAACAGGAATACATTAAGTAACTTGTCAGATATCAAGCCTGAAGGTGATTTGAAGTAGAGCCATCCATCATAATCACATTTGTAATATTTAAAACTGACACTGTAGGACACAGATTCCTCATCAGAAGAAAGGATTCTGAGTTATATCTTCTGCCCCAGTGGAGACATAAGATTTTATATTACTGAAACATATTATTGAAATTATATTACTTAATAAATTAGTATCTTGATGGAGGTATAAAGACAAATCATTTTCCTCTCCCTTTTCAATTATGTGGATAGGAAAATGCCTTGAGAAGTTCACTTTCCAAAACATTAAAAGTGGTATAAATTCTACCTAAAATATAAATTGGTACCATAGTCTCTATATACATTGTCCACTTTCATCCCTTGAGAATTTTGCATGTTATTTTGTAATAAACCCTGCTGTCTTGTATACTATATTCTGTCTCATATGAATTCATTCAACAGAAAATAGGAGGATGATGGAGCTCAGAGGGGACAATTGTAAAATTATGGTAACAAACAGGATTGACCACTCCTTATCTCTTGACATAATTAGCCAATGCTGAAATTTTGCTCTGTTTCAAGTCTTTTAAATGAAACGACAAAATAACAATCATAGCCAGGAGTGATGACACATATCTTTAATACCAGCACTGCAGAGATAGAGGCATATGGATCTCTATGAAATCAAGAACAGCCAGATCTACATAGTAAATTCAAGGTAAGTTGGGGCTGTACAGAAACCTATTATCAAAAAGCAGCAACAAAAACACAATAACAAGCACATTGATTCACTACATCAGTATTCCTCTTCATCGTTTTCTTGTCATCCTAAAGTTCTTCCAAACTGAATGTGATAGCTTCCTTGATAGAGGGATCGTATTGTTTATGAAGTCATAAATAATATCAATACCCAGCAGCCTCAATTTAGGCAATGTGGAAAATAATTATATTGTGACACTATGGGAAACTATAGTATTACAAAAGATTAATATTATCATTAATAAAACTATTGAGTGGTTGAAGAGATGGCTAAGTGATTAAAAGCACTGGCTACTCTGGCAGAGGACCGAGGTTTGGTTCCTAGCATCCACATAGCAGCTAAACAACCATGCCCCTAACTACAGTTCCAGGAGACCCAATGCCCTCTTCTGACCGGTGGCATTACATGACACAGGCGCACTTACATACATGCAGGTACTGCACTTATACACATATAAAATAATAAATTAAATACTTTTAAAACCTAAGAATTTCTGCTGGGTGTGGTGACACACACCTTTAATAACAGCCTTCGGGAGGCAAAAGCAGGTGGATCTCCATGAGCTCAAGGTCACCCTCATCCACAGCAGTGTCCTGGTGTTCTGGGACTAGGGAGACCCTGTCAAAAAACAAACAATAGTTAGTGATTAAATTAGAGTTAAGAAAAGAAAAGCAAACAACAAAAAACCTAAGAACTCCATTTATTATTAAAGTGGGTTTCTGCTTGTATACAATGTTTAAAGTGCAATCCAATACAGAATTATTTTAGAAGAATGCTATTCAATAAGAATGTGCAGAATATTCTATGTCATGATAATGTGGTATTTTTCTCCCTGGGGAAGGGAGAAGATGAAATTTGTGCAAGGAACTAAGATGGAGAGCTTCAAATGTGCCTGTATTATTTCTTGAAATAAAAATGCCCCCCCAAAAATACATTAAGTGTATAATGTATTTTAGTAGTGGATTTGGTGTAGCCAAATTCTGTGATTTCTATTGTGAAATCACAATATAAAAGTAAAATATATTGACCTGTGCATAGTCTAAAATTCTTAAATTTGTCATGACGCAGATTTTTCATATATTTTGTTTCGTAGTTTAAGTACTCAAAATATATCATTAACATATGTGCCATTAGTTCTTGTCAAATAACCTTTATTTGTACATGCTATCATATATCCAGACTAAATAAGTATTTGAACAGTTAGTGATTTTTTCTTTGCTTTTCAGTACAAGCAAGATACTCAAAGTGGTGTAATGAAAGAACTCTTGTTAGTTACACATTTATAAAGTTAGAAAAGTTTTTCTCTTTCTATGACTCAACTCAAACTATCAGTTCCTTATAAAGGGGGAAACCAACATGTTATGCTGCCAACATGTGATGCTTCTCTCTCTCTCTCTCTCTCTCTCTCTCTCTCTCTCGCTCTCTCTCTCTCTCTCACACACACACACACATACACACACAAATTCACAGGGTAAGGATAGTGTTAGAAAAAGGATCGACCACTTGGTTGGATGATTTTGCTCTATTACTCATTTCTCATCATTGAAAAATCTCCATAGAATCCTTTATTCTTGTAGAAATGCATAAATAAATTTCCATATAATTAAGATATACAATAGGGAGTCAGGCATAGTGACACATGCCTTTAATTCTATCACTAGGTAGGCACAGGTTGGAAGACCTCTGTGAGATCAAGATCTGGTCCATGTAGAGAATTACAGGCCATCTGGGGCAACAAGGCAACCCTGGCTCAGAAAAGAAGCTATGAAATAGGAAGTTTGGAGAAATGGAAATTGTAAAATGGATATCATACTACAGCTTGTAAACATATCAGGTAATATCTCCAGAGAAAATGAAGACACCTAGAATTCTCATCCATATGGACATTATGCAGATGAATAGTGACAATGTAGGATGCTCAAATAAATGCAAGGTATGCGAGCCCAATATATTGTCAAATGGACTTTCCAATCATTGCTGTTTTCTTTTTCATCATGAGAAAAGATATAGATCTCTGGGCATCCTAAATTTGGGTTACATCTCTCTTACCCAAAAAAACACTAACTAATCCTAGAGAAGATTCTGAGTTCCATTATTTATCTCATTTAACTACTTTTCTTAAGTATTCTTATTACATTTAAACATGTAGTACCCAGTTTCCTTGTAGTACTACTTTACTTCCAGAGGAGAGAAAGTCTCTCTCCCCCAGAAGCCATCTAATCTTTGCTCCCACATAGCTGTCTTAGGATGACAGAACAAATGTGACCAACACTGTCACCAAGTTCCTATTGTAATTCATTGGCAAAATAAAACTTCAAGTTCATAGACAGTTTGCTTTTTTTAAGAATTGCATACAAGCATGCAATGTGTTTTGAACAAATTCTTCCCCTATTCATTTTCCTCAAATAATTCCTCTGTATCCCCACTTCTCATTCCAAACCTCACCTACTCTATTTCTTAAACTTTATTTTTGAGAAACTCATATAGGATTATTCTTTCTGCCTTATTTCCATCCAAGCACCCCTCCAATCCCTCCCATGTGCCACTAACTCCCTCTCAACCCTCTCAATTTCTTGGCTTCTTCATTATTGTTACATATATGTACATTCATAAATATAAATATATACATTTAGAGTTACCAACTTGTGGCTAAACTCTCAAGGAGCTAGTCACCAGATTCAACTGATTCTCCTTCTCTCAGTATTCACTGACTGCCTCTACTTCATCTTAAATTGAGACCCCATGATATTTTCCCCATCTACTTTGGCATGTCAAGTGGTCTATTTATCATGTAGACTTCCATAACAGAGAGATTTCATTGGTTCAGCTCACCTATCATGTCTAGAATTCATTAATTAGCAGCAGGTGTTCTCTTACATTTTTTATTCTACCTCTTCTGTGGTATTCTATGTGCCTTCAGTGTAGAGGTTTCATTGTAAATGTGTCACTTAGCTTCTTTTTACAACATATGGAGACTATTATAAAGTTCTACAGCTGGATAAATGCAGAGAATAAGAGACTGAGATGTGCTCTATTTTTTAAACCCACTGAGTCCATTTACTGCTGCCTGTACTGTAGGAGCATGGGTATAAGACCATGTACTGGAAGATCTGTAGCCTCTCAAGGGCCAAATCCCTGAAGAAAACTGTCTCTCTTTCCCCCCAGAAGTCATCTAACCTTTACTCCCACATACCTGAATAGAGGTTTCCCACCTGCTTCAATTATTGTAGCAAGTAAAATTGAGACCGCCTAGCAGCAAATAATGATTCATGTGTTGATTATTAGGAAATGCTAATTCAGTCACGTCTGGAGGTATGAGTGGAGGCTGGTCATAGAAGTGATTCAGGATGCATAATTTAAAGTTCTTATCTTTTCCACCTGTATGCTGTGTGTGTTTAATTTTTATTTATTTTTATTTTATGTGTATGTGTGTTTTGCCTGCATGTAAGTTGGTGTACCACATGCATGCACTGCTCTTGGAGGCCAGAACAGGGAGTCAAACTCCCTGGAACTTGAATGCTGTTAAACACCATGTGTTTGCTGGGAACTGAAACTGGGTCCTCTGTAACAAGAGCAGTTAGTGCTTTTCATAACTGAGCCTTTGCTGTGTTTCTTTACATCATCACATCCTGGGTCAACAGAGTTGAAACCATGAACTAATTGATCTTTAATTGGGTAATTATATAGGAAGATTATTACACATGCCAATATTGATGACCATTGCTTTAGAACTATATTTCTTTTTACTTGTAGATATGGATGACTTAGAAAAGAAAAGTAACGTTTATTTTTGCAAATATATTTTTTAATCTTTAATTGTGTGTCTCTATGTGTATGCATGTGAGTGTATGTCCAAGGAGACCAGAAGTGGGTGCCAAATTCCCTGTAGCTTGAGTTATGGAGTGTTTTGAGCTGCCCAACATTGGTGCTGGGAACCAAATTTGGGTCCTTTGGAAGAGTAGCTACTACTCGCCCAGTGAACCATCCTTCCTTCCAGCCCAGAAAAAGTGTAAATATTTGTAAAAAAAAAAATCTCTCTTATTTTATTTATTTATTTAGCAGCTGGTTCTCCTTGTAACCCCAGCTGTCCTGGAGCTCAACATGTAGACCAGGCTGGCTTCAATCTCACAGAGACATACCAGCCTCAGCATCCTGGATGCTGGGGATAAAAGCATGCACAACTATACCAGGTTCACAATATCATCATTTGCAACAATAGTTGCAAAAGTTTTGATGCTCATTAAATAGAACAGGCTTTATAGAAATATTGGATAAGAAGAGGATTGGAAGGATGATGTATGAAAAATTGAAATATTCATGTAGTTTAAATTGTAAATACGACAGCTTTCATTTGTTAAAGCACTAGTTTTCAAACTTTAAAGATATCAAATTCAGGGGTTAGAAAGATGGCTCAGAAGTTAAGAGCACTGATTGGCCTTGCAGAAGACCTAGAATAGGGTCCCAACACCCAAATGGTGACTAACAACAGTCCATAATTCCATTTCCAGAAGACCTGATGCTCCCTTTTGTCCTCTGCAGACATTGCAAGACATGGGTCCACTTACATGCATGCAGGCAAAACACTCATGCACATAAAATAAAAATAAATAAATTTTAAAATGCTATCAAATTCAGTGTCAGTATTCGGAAAAACTGTATTGATAAGAGCATCACAGGATTTATGAAAAGTGAGAAATCTATGATGATTTTTATGTCTACTATAAATGTGAGATTATATTCCCCAAAAATGTGTATCATTTTTGCACCTCTATTTTTAGGAATATTAAGCAGCAACATGGAACCTTCAAATCAGTCATGTGTTTCTGAATTTGTTCTTGTTGGATTGACATACACTCCTGAAGTTCAGCCACTCATCTGCAGCTTGTTCCTCACTATGTACTTTGTCACCATCCTGGGAAACATGCTCATTATCTTGGCAGTCGTTTCTGACTCTCGCCTCCATACCCCCATGTACTTCTTCATCACCAATCTTTCCTTCACTGACATCTGTATAAGCACAACAACAATTCCAAAGTTGCTTGTGAATATTCAATCACAGGATCAGAGCATCACCTACAGAGGCTGCATGTCCCAGGTATGTTTTGTCTTGATTTTTGGTGGATTAGAAAGTTGTCTCCTTGCAGTGATGGCTTATGACCGCTACGTGGCCATCTGTCAACCTCTGAGGTACACAGTCATCATGACCCAGTGCTTCTGTGTCCTACTGGTTCTTCTCTCCCTGACCATTAGTACTATGAACGCACTACTCCACAGTTTGATGTTACTGCAGCTATCCTTCTGTACAAAACAGAATATCTCCCACTTCTTCTGTGAACTTGTGCAGGTCATCAAGCTCGCCTGCTCTGATGCCTTTGTCAATACTCTCCTTATATATACAGTGACTAGTGTATTAGCTGGTGTTCCTCTGGCTGGGATTATTTTCTCTTATACTAAAATTGTGTCCTCTATTCTTAAGATCTCATCAGCCCAGGGAAGGAATAAAGCCTTTTCCACCTGTGGCTCTCATCTCTCAGTGGTGTGCTTGTTCTATGGGACAGCTTTTGGAGTATATATGAGTTCTGCAGTTGCTGACTCTTCCATTAAGAACATAGTCTCTTCTATGTTGTATATTGTGGTCCCTCAAATGTTGAACCCTTTTATCTACAGTTTGAGGAACAGAGAAATGAAACAAGCAGTGAGACACCTCATCTTTTCTGTGATTTTGTCATCTTCATGAGTTGATTTTTAAGTTTTACAAGAACATTATTGAGAATTTCATACATGCATATAAGGTGTTTTGATCAAATCCATGCCCATTCCCTCCTCTCCAACATTCCCTCCTCTGAAGAGGTAACTAAAATCTTTTAAGGATTAGATACAAGCTCCCAAATACTTTTGACATTTTTGGTCTTGGAACAGAGTATGTTGATAACAGGTCCAAGGACATTCTGACTTTTAGCCAAGAAACTGGCTACATTTCTTTGGAGTCTTTTTACCCTAACTGCCTAGCCAATTCCTACCTCCTATTCTTATCACACCATCCTCTGAAGGGGTTTCCCAAATTGCCAATAGGGAATAGGGATGCCGACCACTCTCACTTCTTCCATGCTGAACAGGGACACAGGGTGAGGCAACTCAGTGGGTCTATCTAAAAGATTCCCAAATTGCATAACTCTTATCTCTAAGGGGAGAAGAAAGTCGTTGAATCATGAATAGGAGATGTGAAGGAGAAGTAAAGGCAAGAGTAATTAGCATTACAAGTTCTAGACAGGGAACTAGAAAAAAATTCAGAACATGGCAATTTTCAAATGTCCATATGAGAGTCCATTGGAGTTTCTTGACAAGGGCTTCCAAAAGCATCCCTCTATTGGGTTCCTCCTCATTTCCTTTTGTCTTCCAAGACTGGGCTAGTTGGCTGGGAAGAGTGACTCTGCTTGGCGTTCTTTAAATGAATGAGCACAACCATGAATGCAAACCAAGAATCTTCCACTATGCCTTTACAGTAGACCTTTCACCAAGGTCAAAAAGACTTGATTTTGGTTGTTGCTAAAACAATAACTTCATGTCATAAAGTTCTTCACTTGCAAATATAATTTTCTTAAGGAGACAATAGACTGCACCTATGCACAAAATCTGTTGTTTGTACACTATTTGTAAGCAGATGATCCTAGATTATGACAGTAAGCCCTAAATATTATTTCATTTATTCCTAATTTCATCTACTCTTATAGAAAAATGCATATGTAGATTAATACAGCTTTTATTCTAACATAAAGACCAACAAAATTAAGATATTTGCAAGAAAACGGATGAAACTGGAGCTTGTAAGGCTAAGTGAAATAAAACTGATTCGGAATGACAAATGTTTTGGTCTTGTCTATCATAGGATGACTATCACTCATGAATGTTGACAAGGGAAAATTTTAAGTAAAGCTAAAAAAACCAGCAGCTGTGATCAGGGGATATGAAAGGATAATGTATAATGGAAGGTGAATATTAGCAATATACATATATATGGATCCATATATATATATGGATCAAAGGACATAATGAACTCCCCAAGTTTATACTTGAATTAGAAGAAGCATAAAAAGGAAAGGGAAGAGAAATTGGAGCAGAAGGAGTAAGAAGAACTGAAGAAGAAAAGGGAGAAAGAAAGCCTATAATTGGCTAAGTCTCAGGACCTAGGGGAGAGCCCAGCACTATTATTCTGCTAAACGGACATTGCCCCCTAAGTTCTTATTTTTATACTATGGAGTAATATAACTCTCAATCCTCATCAATGAAGTTTCATTTGCAGTAGATGATAACAGTACAAGACCAATAGCTAGTCGACATGCAGAGAATAAGTAACTGTGGAGTGTTCAACTCAAAATGGAACATTTATATATCACCTCCTCCATACAAGGTTCAGGAATCATCACACTGTGGTTACTACATCAGATAAGTATGACAAAATACAATTTCAACATAGTGTTCCTTTTTGTAAAGAAACATTTAAATTATTGCAACATGGGCTTGAGAGATGACTCAGCAGTTAAGAACACCGATTGCTCTTGTAGAGGAACCAGTTTCAGTTCCTAGCACCCATATGGTGATAGACAGTAATACCTAACTCCAGTTCCTGGGGATCTAACATGCTTTTCTGGCATCTGTAGTCATTACATGCACAGGTGCGCCACACTTATATATATTCAGGCAATCTACTTATACACATAAAAAGGAATAAATAAATGAATAAGTAAATAAATTTTTTAAATTGTCAGGACATTATTCAAACAGAAGAAATCAGTTATAACCAGGCCAACATGATTTGTCTGTATTGACAAGCACTGCTGATCTAGAGTTGATTAAATAAAGGCTTTGGAAGTATTTGGACAAAATATTAAAAACCAGGTTCAGTTTACATCAACGGTATATAATTTAATATTATACACATATGCAGGACATATTCCTAGTAAAAATTGGAGCTAGCCTTCCAGATACTAAGAAATAGAAAAGCATTATGTCAAAACAGGAAAAGAACTCTGAAATTCGTGTGGTGAATGGTATCTGTTATTAAAGAGAAGGCTATAAATTCTATAAAATAGAGTTACTCAAAATCAGAAGTGGGAACTAAGTGATATACATCTAACCAAGGGTCTTAGGACATCAGGTGCTTTTAATTCTTCACCTCTACAAATTTGGTCTTTAAGAACATCCTTTAAGACATCCCCTCTCCCTGAGTCTTGGACCTGTTCCTCTGAAACAGCTTCAGGAGGCCTGACTGAGCTTCCAGGGGTGAGAAGACCAAATCCTGCCATGTCAATCCCAATCCCCCTGCTTTGAGACCATCTCTAGCCCCTACCACAGCTCCAAATCTTGGGCTTCCCATCTAACGATTTGAGGTCTGCTCATTCAGTTCTCATCCCCTCCCCTTGGGCCTTGGCCTAATATGAATGATGTTGTCAGAGTATGCCTAACTAGCCAGGACTACTTTACCCTTGAGAAGGGCTCCTGAATAACCTGCCTGGACCCTTCAATATAAAATCAAAAGAGAAAATTCAGGGCCCACACATACTCTGCCTGGTTAGTTAGACCCTCCCTAGGCTGTCCCCAGCCTGATTTTCCCTTGGTGCCCAGACCTAATATGATTGCTAGAGACCTGTGTACTTACTACCCTGCTGAGTTAGACCTCATCCACTATGCCGCCATTCCCCTGCACCCTAACCAGCTTCCATTTTCTCTTCACACCCTATTTTCCTTCCAAGTCTGTTTCTTCCCCTTCTGCCTCAGATCTCTAGACTGGCCTCCTAACCCATACCTCACCCACCTGTATCCTGATCCACTGCACCCATATTAGCAGCATTTTCCAGCCTCAGGAACTCCAACTACTCTGCCTAGTTAGACCCTCCCTAGGCTGTCCCCATTCCTGCCTTGTCCATAGCACACAGACACACACACACACACACACACACACACACACACACATGCACACACACACTTGACCTGTCTGCAAGAGACCTACATACTACCTTGGTAAGTCAGATCCAGTTCACTGAGGATAGGAATAAACTCCTGACTGAACCTCAGGAAAATATAAATATATAACTAAATAAAATGACAAAAATTATACAGTACATGAAAAGTGATGGAAAAGAGATGAAAATATTGAATAAAACCCAAGCTGAAATGGAAATGGAATTGAAAATTTCAATAAGTAAATTTGAAAAACCAGAAAGAATGAATGCAATAGAAAAAAGAATGACAAGGCTGGATGACAAAGTTGAAGAACTGTTCAAGCAAAGAATATGAAACTTTTTTAAAAGCACAGGAATGTGATATGCAGGAAATACGGGACACTATGGAAAGCCCAAATATACATATCATAGGTATAGAAGAAGAATCTCAGGTCAAAGGCATTGACTAAGTCTTAAGAAGGATTATAGAAGAAAACCTTCCAAAATTAAGGAAAGAAAAATCTATACAGTTAAAAGAAGCACACAGAATACCAATGAGACAGTACCAGAACAGAAGATCCCTATGGCATATCACAGTAAAAACACTAAATATACAGAACAAAGACAGGGTACTGAAAACTGCTAGAAAAAAAAAACAAGTTAAATATGACAGAAAACCCATCAGAATTGCACCTGAGTTTTCTTTGCACACTCTGAAAGCAAGAAGAGCCTGGACCAAAGTATTCCCAATTCTAAATGACCATGAATGCCAACCCAGAATAATTACCCAGCAAAACTATCTATCATGTTTGAAAAAAATCAACATAATAGGGAAAATTTTTTCAATGACACCATTGGACTGAAATAATTCATGTTGACCAAACCAGACATACAGAGAATACTAGAAGCAATGCTGAAGATAAGAATGACTGTACTCAAGATGTTACAGAAAGAAAACAAATGAAGGCATAATTACAGAAACAAAATAGGACTAAGAACACAAATGAAATAAATGAGAATAGCCAATACACATCTCTCAATTGTAGCTTTAAATATCACAAAGCCTCAACTCCCCAGTCAGCAGATACAGGTTAGTGGGAATGATTAAGAAACAAAATCTGGGGCTGGAGAGATGGGTCAGTGGCTAAGAACACTGGCTGTTCTTGCAGAAAATCTGGGTTCGAATCCCAGCACCCACATGGCAGCTAACAACTGTTGGAAACTCCAGTTCCAGAGGATCTGACAACCTCTTCTGTCCTCCACAGGCATTGCACAACATGGGTGCACTCATATACATGCAGCCAATACATGCATACACATAAAATAAAAATAACAAATAAAAATTTTAAAAAGAAACAAAATCCATTATTTTGTGATCTACAACAAACTCATCATCAAGTAAAGGCACTACCTTATGGTGAAAGGATGGGGAAATAATCCCAACAAATGGCACTAAGAAACAAGCAGGTGCTATTTCCAATATCTGAAAAAATAGACTTATATTAAAACTAATCAGAAGAAATAAAGTCACTTCATTCTGATCATGGGAGCAATTGACCAATAAGATACTACAATCATGAACATATATGTACCAAATTTTGGTGCACCCAATTTCAAAAAATAACAGCGATACAGGGCTTTAAAACACAGATTAACCCCAACTCAGTAATAGTTGGTGACTTCAATCTCTACTAGACAGTCAACTGGACAAAGAAAAAATAACAGAGAAGCATCTGAATTAAATGTCATCATACATAAAATGGAACTTAATGGACATACAGTGAATACTCTACCCAAG